GGATGTAAACCCAAAATCTTCCCGAATCAAAGCGTGAAAGAGTGATGGATGCGAGCAACTACGAGGATGTTTTCAGTTCTACTACGAACTGGAGAATCGCCGGCGGCGGCCTCACAGACTCCATCTCCTTTGAGTCCTCCTCTTCTCCTTCCGACGGAATCATCCCCTCCGCCGTCGATCATGTGGCCAAGTCCCCGCTGCTTCTGCTCCCTCCATTTCCCAATGGCGAGCCTTGTGAAATTACGYGTACGGTGGTGCTTCTTCTTCCCCTCTTTATTCCGTAAGGTTTTGGGATATAATTTGTCTTAGTTATTTCCAGGATCCGCTTATTAACCCCTAATTGAAGTAGATCGGTAGAGCTATACTATGAAATTGGTGGGAATTATCGTGTACGTTTTGGTGGTGATCTGTGGTGGTGTTTGGTAAAATGTGTTTTCGCTCGCTTGCAGTTACATTTACACAGGAGCATGAATTAAGGCAAGTCTATATCCGTAGTACTGCACGGGTCTACGAAGTATATTACACCCAAAAGCGGGGGAATGACAGAGAATACCTGTGTACAGTTCGATGTGGCATTGCAGCGAGAGAAGAAGACGAAGAGGAACTGCTTCAGATCCCTCGCACTGACTCACCTTCTAAGACTCAAGTGGAACCGGTAAAGGATCCTATCGAGAGGAGGGTAAAAGACAATGGCAGTGGACGGGCTAACGAAGATGATTGGGTTGAAGTGAAAGCTGGCGATGATTCTCTGCTGAATAATGAAAAATATCTGCTTCAAATACCACAATTAGGAAATCAGGTAACGAGTTTCTTTTTGGGAGTCAAATCACATGGAAGCAAGAAAAAACCCTGTGATATATAAGGAGCCGATGGAGTTGGTGTGTATTTGTTGTTCTGTTTGTCATTTCCTTGTTTTTCCCCTTGGTATTTCAGGATTTTTTTGAAGCTACTGCAGAGATCAATGATGCAGAACCTTGCATCTCCATTACACTCCGTCTTCTCTCCCTTCAGGATAAAGGATGTGCACTTGTTGATGAAATTTATTTATTTGCTGATCCTATTGATCAAAGTGAGTTAGAGTGGGACGAAGCAAGTGGAGCAGCAAATTCATCCAGTATTTCGCTGATGGCCATGTTTATGCCAACTCTTTTGCAGCTGTCTCTAGGAAAAGATGTCAGAAAGGAACGCGATGGACAAGTTTCCGACAAGTCCTACAGTACGATGATTCCAGGAAATTTGGGAAATTCAAATGGTTCTGATAAGATTGCGAATGAAATTCAGCAAGAGATAAAATCCTGTAAAACTGATCACAAAGGAGTGAGCTCACCAGTGGTAGTTGATACTCTTGCAAGGCATGTTGATGCAACACGAGTATCATTAGCAGAAATCAATCCTGATACGTCTTGCAATAACGTGGAGACTATCCTGGATCAGCTTGTTAATAAGGTAAGCCGGATAGAAACTATCTTGACAAGATTTGAAAATCAGATGTTGAGACCTATCAATAGTATTGATGCAAGACTCCAGCTAGTAGAGAAAAAACTTGAACAGCTAGGCAAGAAATCACTTGAATCTGTATTGTATGTGGAAACAGAAATACCCAATCCAGATTCTCTGGGCAGTGATACAGATAAAACGCCTGAAACCAGTGAGTTGGATGGACTGACCAAAAACACGGACAATCCACAATTGGCCTCTTCTTCTTTAACAGTTGTCCCTGACTCCTCTAGAATAGACAACAGTGAAGATTATGCTGTTGTACTACCAAACAAGCTGGATAATATTTTTACAAAGTTCATAGAACAGGGGAGTGAAAATAACTCAACCTCAGGAAACGAGGTGATTTCTGCTGAATCTGAGATCAGTAGTGAGGAGGTTGGCCAGTCATTTGGGAGAGGAGCTGCGGAAAAGAATCCAAAACATTCGCTGTCTATAAATGATGCTTTAGCATCTGCACTTGCTGGGTTATTGTCTTCAACTTCAGTCACGGATGGAAAACACAGACAAGCCTTCGTAATTACAGCCCCTGAATTTTCCAATGGAGATGACATGGAGATGGAAAAGAAACCTCTGACTGGTACGCATCCAGACGAAAGCCAAGTTACAGCAGAGGAGTTTAAAGACCGACAATCTGTGTTGGACAGCCCAATCTCTTCACGGGAAGAGCTGAAAATTACTCTATTTGCTGAAGACAATTCTCAAGAAATGGGTAATGGAGTTTCTGAAAAGTTACGTGATAGTTTGGGAGGATATGACGAGGCCAAGACAGTGACTAGAGTCAGAAAGGATGATCTAGATAAAGAGGCGGTGACATCAAGCACAAAAACGGATTGTTACATAGAAAGGGAGAACTTGAGTTATGAGCCCGGGAACCCCGATTGCTTGGTTCACGAGCTTGAGAATCCAAATGTAATCACTGGTTGTGGAAGTTCTAGGTTAATCAATGAAGGAGAGCCTGGAGTGGATGATGACTTGAAGAGCGTTCTCGGTTTTCAACCTACTACTTGTTCAGTCGATTTCCAAACTCCTATTCTAGACGTGAAATTTAATCCAGAGAAAAAAGTCTCAGAGAACAAGTGCTTCTTCGAGTCACTTCTCACCGCAGAATCTAAGACCGTTGTAGATTGCAACAAGGACGCATTTGATGATAACTTGGTGTCAGTGGATGATGAAGAACTAAACGGCCCACCAATAGATACTCTTTCGTCTGTGGAGATCGTTCACTATGAGCCGAACGAGATGATGCATCTACAGTTGAATGCAGACATATCAACAGCAAGTCTGATATAAGAGTGACGAAAGAAGTTGTAAACTTTATTGATATCAAATCAAATCATTAAACTCGTTTCTAATTAGCTACAACCATGCACAAGTAAATATTATAAGGGAGATTAACTAGAATAATCTATTTTTTTTTAAATAGTTAGAATAATTTTACTATTTTTTTATTGCTGAAATAATTTATTCTAGATTTTTTTTTTATATAATACCAAAATTGTCTTTCTCAAATTTTGCCGAGGTATTGGTAGATTCTGCCGAAACATTGGCAGACTCTACCGATGTATTGGCAGACTCTGCCAATATCTAAAAATACGTAGATTCTGTCGAAACATTGGCAGACTCTGCCGAAACATTGGCAGACTTTGCCGAGGTATTGGCAGACTCTACCGAATCATTAGCAGACTCTGCGGAAACATTGATAGACTCTGCCAATACCTCGGCAGAGTCTGCCAAGGATAATTTTGGTATTATGAAAGAAAAAAAATCAAGAATAGGTTATTTCAGCAATAAAAAAATGGTAAGGTTATTCTAGCTATTTTTTTTTTAAAAATAGGTTATTCTAGGTAAATTTTTCATATTATAATTTCAATAATTAGAAACAAGAAAGTTTATGACTAGATGTGTACAATTGATATAGTTTGCATACCAACTATGTATAACTCCCATAATTAGAAACAATCAAGTAAAATTCTTATAATTAGAAACAGTCAAGTTTCACTTATACAAATAAATTTAATTTAGCATAGAAAGTCTATATCCATCTATAGGGCCGGCTCAAACATTTTCTAGGCCTAGGGGCAATATTAAAAAATAGGCCCCTCCAATATCATAAATACGTAACCCAATTTTTTTTCTTTTGCTATAATCAAATACATTAAACAATTATGTTTATCAAACACAAGCAAATCATACACTACAACAATGCATCTTTGCAACTTTTGTTCTTACGGATGTAAATAACACAAATAAAAACAGAGTTCTTCACTAGACTTCTCCTTCCTCCCTCCTTCATAGCTCTTTTTGTAACCTTTTGTTTTTCCATAATATTTCACACTCGAACATCTTCACACCGTAACATACACCACATCATATGCTTTCTCAATCTGGAAAAAGAGAAGAAGCAAGCAGTAGTTATTTCAAGAAGACAAACTAATCATAGAAAACGGTTTTTTTCGAGCTTTTGTCATAATACTCATATGAAAAACACCTAGAAAACTTTTCATCTAAAGGAAACAAAAGATTTATTTCTCTTTA